TAAAAGTAGAAAGACAAAAAAAAGACTAATGAAAATGCTTGCACGAATCTTCATGTAAAATCAATGACATAGGATTTAGATGTGCAATATTTAGGGCATATCTAGATGTGCTTTAGCAAAACTGTTAAATTTTTTTGAGTATTTGTTTTTGCAAAGCACCATGTATGTTATTTCTTCACGAAGTTCTGCATGCAGCTTGCACACTCAAACGTGTTTGTTTCCAAAAAATGGTTTTCTTTTGTTGGTTTGCCTGCATTTACTATTCAATCAAATGCCCAATGAGTTCAGGATCAGAATGAATATGTGGGAAACAGATTTTAATATTTTTTACACATGATATGACCCCCACATACCATTCTAAATAATGCATTTTGATGTTTCTTGCAACGCACAGGCATCTTACTAATTGGCATAAAAAAGGAAGATGAACTTTAAAATATAAAAACGAATAGACAAAGACATGGAGAATCTTAATGGGCGGCCGAGAAAAGGAACGGGAAAACATAGGCCCGGTGAGGGAATGATGGAACCAGGGTGACAACAGTGCACGCATCTTCGCGCGCGATCGGACGGCAAAAAAAATTAGACTAGAGGCCAATTATTCTCAGTGGACTGAAAATTAGCAATTTCGTTTATTTAGTACTCCTATTGAGCCATGCCCGACAGACTTACGTCACCACACAGATCATTACTTTTTTTTAGGGTACACAGATCATTACATATCACACATTATGCCCATGCACGCGTAGCTCTTTATTTTGGTAATACAATATATAATATACTCCCTTCGTTCCAATAATGTAAGACATTATTCGTCGCTACAACAGAGCATGCTGAATCAACTAAGGCAGATGATGGAGATACGCCAGCGTAACTGGCCATGGGGGGGCGCAGGTACGTGGACGTCGTAGAGCGCGCGAGCAATGGCTGCAGCTAGCCACTTCAGTACTTCACCACCTACTGCCGTGCTTGCCGCCATGGTACTTGCCGCCGTGCTTGCCGCCGTGGTACTTGCCGCCGTGGTGGTGCCCGCCGCCATGCCCGGTGTGGTACGATCCCATGTGACCTGCACCCACGCATGCTCCCACGTTTTATGACGTCCCCAGCGTCTCAAACATACTTGACAGTTGATGAATGAAGGTGCGTATTACCGTGGTGCGCCCCGTGGGAGGGGTAGGCCGCCGGCGCGTAGCCGTGCGCCTGGTATCCGCCGTGCGGAGGGTAGGCACCGGCAGCAGGAGGGTACCCGAGCTGCGCGTGGCCGCCGCCGTATCCGTGCTGCTGCACGTGTCCGCCGTACCCGTGCCCGTGGCCATGGCCGTGCTGCGCATGTCCGCCGCCGTACCCGTGCTCGTAGGCGCCGTGCCCGTGCTGAGCATGGCCGCCGTACCCGTGCTCGTAGCTCTGGCCATGGCCGCCGTAGCCCTGCTGGTAGCCCTGTACATGGCCACCGCCGTAGCCGTGCCCCTGGCCGTATGACGATCCGTAGCCGTGGCCTTTCCCGCCGTTCACGAAGCCCTTCACGCCGCCGTTGTGGCCGCCGTGCATGTCGTGGCCTCCACCCATGATCGATTACTAGTTACCAACAGATATAAGAAGATACTGCTTTTCAATCCATTTACTATTGACGATTTAAAGCGAACAAAATGTATATGAAACGACTCGTGATCACTTACGAGAATTAGCAGCTAGCACACACGGACAGATGATAGCTCGGTGATCTGTGTTTGATCTAGCTCGTTGCTGCTCAAGAACTGTCGGGAGTGCGACCCATTTTATACTCGCGCGGCCTGATTCGGCGACGCGTACCACCCGCGTGAACCACGCACGTTAGTTTAGATTCGTTTTCAATATACTCCTATTTAACAATTTGGCGATCAGGTTCGATCCGTATGCTCTCTTCGAAAAGATCGAAAGGTTAGATTCGTTCTTTCTCTTATTAGACGGTTAGCATGGGTGCAGTGTGTCACAGCACCTGATCCATCCGTGCTTTTCGGTTTTGGAATTTATCTCCCTCCCACTCACAACAATATTTATGTCCCTATTTTTTTGTCTTTGCCCACTCACAACAATATTTATGTCCCTATTTTTTCTTATGGAATTCTTATTCATCGCCATTTCTAACATTTTGCAACTCTCCCGACACCTCCCCACCCCCCCC